CCGACAGTCTATCTTTATCCTGTTCCCGTAATGGCCAAATTTCTGCGCCGTATAGCAGAACTGGCCGAACTGCGGCCGCATACACTCGACCCTCCACAGAAAACCGGATGTCGCGACGGCACCACAGATGTCTCAAGATGGTAAATGCCAACCGAGTCTTCTGTATACGAGGTGACACTTCATCCGTGATGCGTCTACCGGGTGAGATGTAGCTGCCCAAAGAAAAAAAAATCATCCACTTCCCCAGTTAGACTGAGTCTGGGTGCTGAACCAACCCAGCCTCGTAGTAGCAGTTTGCACTGAATAGGCACAGTCGATAACTGACGGGAAGCGAGCGTGAACAGAGAACTTGTGTGGGAGCTTCTAAAGACAACTCACGCAAGGCCTTTGCGATTCTGTTAAGTGTTTTGTTCGTTGGTGTGTTGATTCACGGTCCGCTTTTGGAGATCGGCGCCTAGCGTCATACACACAATGAGACAAGTGGAACGTGGACGCGGCAGCACTTTATTGACTGGTGGCTGTCCAGCTTGGGTAGGTGGTAGCTGTCCAATGAAGTGCAAAAACTTCTCCACCATCAGGAAGAAGCCCCAGGTACCCCGCGCCTACGTCCATCCAGGGGGTTTCTTTTTACAAATAAACTGTCCCTCTGTTTTTTGCTGAAGTGACCTATCCAAGAACCAGCGTGTATAGTCAAAGGGAGCCAGGAGGTGCCCAAGCAGCTGGCCTTGTGAGACTGATCTTCGTTTGGCCTCTAACCATCGACCTTTCAGGTATGAATAAATCTCTGGCTATGAAAAGCCATCCTGTGCAACTCGCAGGGTCATGGAGGCATGCAAGCCATCACATCACATCAAGGTGAAGTCTCGTCGTACACCTCCCTCGCCCCTGAAAAAAACGATAGACTAACTAAAAATTGTATGGTGACCCTAACAGAAAATAGTTATTCTCATCAATCAACTTAACTATTTGACCCCTCTTTTACTTTGCTATTGGTTCCAATCCCCCATGTTTGGTTATTCTTCATGTAATGGGAACACCAAGCTTGTTCGCAAGTCGGTGATATATATATATATATATATATATATATATAATTATTTCGCACACCACTTTTATGCATTTTGTCAGGGTTATCGAGACCAAATCAGTTGATTCCTGAAAGTTGAATCTAATCGAAACCACTAAAATCCACGCGCACTGAACATGGCTGCAGCTGCTTCGGGTGGTTGAAACATGCAAGTTTTCTCATGACCTCTGACCCAGACAATCTAGAACTGGTCTCCGTCTGAGAACAACACTCACATTATTTTGCACATAATACAGTTTTACAGTTTGGTCAAATCCGTAAGTCAAGTGAACAGATCACTAAATCGCATATCTGTTTGCGATCAATGAATGAAACAAAGAAAATAGTTTGTTGGTCGTCTGAATCTTTTATAGTCATGGTGATCACTTCAAACGAAGGAGAGAGAGAGAGAGTGATCGAAATGCGCATTGGTCATGATTTGTGAAACTGGATCAAATGACTGGTGCGTTAGAAAGTACCGACCTCCTGCTGATCATTATCTTATTAGTGGATATGCAATACTGAAGAAACTGCTCCGGTGAATGTCCATTCATTTGTTCACCGCGGACACAAAGACAATAATTGAGAGTGAACACCTTGCCCGAAATATCTACTCAGAGGCCAGCTAGTTAGCTAGCGCAGGGCCCACCGTAGGTTCCAGGACTAGAGCCAACTTCACAACGCTTGGACAGCTGACATCATAAACATACCGGAAGAGAGCGATCAACGTGAGTCGCATAAAAGTAAAATTAAGCAACGTTCAGTCTGAACTTTTCTGGCCTCTGGTTTTTGGTGCCCGTATTCCGGCCATAGATTTGATGAAGCAAACAAGTGTGAAATAAAAACGAAAACCCTGATGGCTGTGAGACGGTTCAGATGCAGTATGGTGGTAGACTAGATGTGCGTGTGTGATGTAGCACAACCGTCTGTCAAATACACTGGCGTTATTTTCAACCGTAACCTCATCTGGTCTGATGATGATTTTTGCTGAAGATCAAGAGGCTCACGTTTTATGTTTTACGACTTAAATCACTTTCTATCTTAAACCATCTCATAAGGGGGATTTCGTCTTTGCTTACGTTTTGCCCCACTGGCTTTATGGGTCCCCTGGTTATCTTCCCCGGTCTTTTCAACAAGGACGACAAACTCATTTCCCAATCCCTCGATTTGTACTCCCATACCGAGGGAACGTCTGGTACAGTTTGTGGTGACACACCATCTCAAGTCCTGTAAAACCTTCAATATAGTTTTATCTGATATTTCCCATCCCCCTTAATTCTGTTTCTAGTCAGTGCCTTTATCACTCATCCACCAGTTCCACTCACAAACTTATAAGGGCACGCAGTGAAGCTTACAGGCGCTCTATTGTACCGTATCTCGTCAGATTGCTAACAAACCGTGAACTTGTTGCAGAAAATCTGCGCAAAATTCTAAACTAAACCAATCATAAACATCCGGGTATGCCATTGGTTTCTGATGTTGTTGTCCGTTTTCACGGCTTTTAATTGCTGTATTGTATTGTTGTTTTTTCACTTTTGTTGACACACTGTGGTTATGAATACCCTCCTTTTCGAGGTGTACAAAGCGATTCCTTGACTTGAAAAGAACCAGGGTCCCTGTCTACACCATCTAGTCACATCACGTAATACCTCTACCTATTCATCATTGCTTTTTTCAGGTGAATTTTGTCGTTTGCAAAGGAAACGAAAATTGAACCGGAAGCACCGTGCGATTGTGCCAATCAGGTTGGGTCGTTTTCAGTAGTGTAAATCCGTCAAACCAAATAAGGATCTAACCGGACATTTCACATGTGAAATGCCGATCAGGGCAGGGGTGGGGGAGAGCGACCGATCATGACAGAATTCATGTTTGAAAGCTGACTACGAACAACTAACATCACTTGTCTTATATCTAACCTCCAGAGGCTACCCTACCAGCTAACCAGTTCCCGTAGTCAAAATCGCAATATCTTCGAACTGAGCAGTTATATGGTATATAGTACTATTGAATCAGCAGGGCGATCCCCGTCAATTTTTCCGTTGGAACCAACGTGATTCCGTGAAAGTGTGTCGCCGGAGGATCATCGTTGCAGTGTGTGTCAGAGAAAAAATGATACACTGCCTGATATGCTGGTGAAAGACGAAACCACACAACTTCAAAATGTTTTTCGTCTCGTTGATAGAGAAGGGGTCATTTTCACCTTATTTTTCTATTTAGTTTTATAAAATTTGAATTTCTAGATTTTCACGCCCAAAAAGACTCATACCGCACCACCGGCCATACTGGTCCAATTTTCCGTGATTTACTACCTTCGAGCTATTTTTCAAGATCATTGATGGCCGATCCTCGAACTTTATTTAAACAGATGAGTTGTGCACTATATTCACCTTTTGCGGTCGAGCGAAATATACAACCTTGTCTGAAGGCCTGTCTTCCGTGTTTTCTCTGGTCGGGTTTTGGGGATCGTACTGCCTTCGTGAGGCGTTTGATACCAGGTCGCATAACAGTTTTCCGGAAGTCGAAACAGAAACCGAGAGAGAAGTTCGAGAAATAGTTTAGGTATGTGAACAACATAAAAACCTGGAATTCTAAGCACTGGTGGAACAGGAGTGTATTATTTTTGAAACCGTAGGATTCTAGACCCGTGTGTACGATACGACGACAGAAAAGAAGAGCGAAAAATTTGTGTGACAAGGTGTTTGATCATAGAAATGGATTCGGATGTTTAATGTCGCAAAATGTTTGCGTGCCCGTCGGCCGTACCAACGGGATCCGTCAATAAGGTTCTATTTTGTATTTTGTAATTGTATAAATTGTGTAAATATATACGCTTAGATTTCGGTTGAAAATGTACACTGTTTGTCACGCAGAATCAAATAATAAACGTAATAATAACATTAATAACGAAAATAAAGAATGTTGGTGATATTTGTTTCGTGTATTTTTTTGATGTAGTTCATTTGAAACCTGTTCCTTTTTGGTGAGTAGTCGGGCCANCCCGGGGGGGGGGGTAGATGTCGAAATGAAGATCGTGTGGACGGATGGGAACGACAAGATGATAGATCAGGGTGTGGTGGATGAACAGGGTCATCTAGAATCTTTTGAGTAAATTTAAAACAAGAGTTGATGTGTGACCATCAATGAACTCTGTGATTAATGAATCGATCGGAATTAATGATGCACGAGTGATGATCACCAAACCACGGCGAATTGTTTTGAAGTCTGGTTTTAAAGGACCGGGAAACATTACAGGAGAGCAATAAAGTAGAATGGGTAAAACACATTGGTCAACGAAAGATGACAGGACTGATTATGGGGTTCGGAACTGCCTGAGTTTGCGTAATTGAAAAGATAGGCGTCTCACTTTACCGATACAGTTGTAAATGTGTAGACTAACGAAGATTGAAGTCGATGGTGACACCCAGGTACTTGACTGAGGTTATTCTGGATACAGGTTTACCGTTAGAGGTAGCCGAGTCCGTTGGAAATGAGGAGCGGGAAAGATTGAAAATGCACTCTGCGCACCTCGACATGTTAAGACTGAGACCAGATTGGTCAGAAATGTTGGATTTTAGAAAGATTTTCAGTAAAAGAACGAAATTCCGAGGGAGATGAAACTGTCTGACGCAAAACAACGTCCTGCTGGATGCTGACCGAGTAGCGTAGGAAAAAATGACTTACCGGTCAGAATCTGACGGACTCTGTGCAGCCACAAAATCTCGTCCAGTAGAGGGCAATTCAGTGGGGCGCGACCTTCCCCGATCCGGTCTGTTTGAAGCAGACTGGGCTTGACGATTGGTCTGGCTAACTTGATCTGTGTTGGACGGGGTCCGACGTGTTCGTTTGGGCGACAAATGAAGCAGAGACTCGGCGAAAGCACGGGAATCCGCGGCGATTTGTTCCATGGCTGTAGAGAATGGATTGAAGGGAATGAAGGTAAAAACGGATATCGAAAGATGAACATAAACTAGCGAGCTAGAGAAAGTGAAGTGAAGGAATCATCGGTTTTATTTACTCAGCAGCGCTGTGCAATCGTTTCAATTCGTAGTTTTTAAAGCATCCAGCCAACTGAACTGAAAACCTGAATTCCACTTCGAATTGAAGCCGAGTGCAAACCACCGAACGCATACAGCTATAAGAGAGAAACAATGACGTCACTGACCATCAGTGTGAGTTTCTTTGTGTGTTGCGTATACACAATGTCTATACTGAACCCTAACTTGATAGACAATCGAATCCGGACCAAGGTATGCATGGTTTTGAGCATAAATCTACTCGTGCTCTCCAACAGTTGCAATCCGAGCACAATGAGGTTTGGGGAGGGTGACGTGTGAGAGATAGAGAGAGAGGAACAACGTATACTGCTGTAGCACGGCTGGCCCCATAGTGCGTAAACCGGTTAGGCGAAAAGTGCGGTGTGCACCCGAACTACACACGCGTATGTGAAAAGGAACACTCTAACAATGATTAATTCCTCCAGTTGGGGTATGTGATCAATTCACTCTCATGCGGAAGATGATAGAAATTTTTGTTGTCTAGAATTAAATAGTGATTGAACAGGAATAGCAATTATTAAACCATTCAATCAACTGTATCGCAGTAGTGTACATGTTCATTTCGAAGCGGATCGGCTTAGTGATAGCCATACAGGAAAATATTCGCAGTATACGGTTCGATAGAAAACAGTAATCTGAGGCAGAGAAATCATCGTCATTATCGTACAGTGAAAAACAGTGACGCGAACTGATCGCTACCAAACTCACAAAGCATTCAAAGTTAGTGGTAATACGTACAGAGTGGGCAGGGGTTGGACCTAATTTGAGGGAGAGGGAGAAAGTGAACCTCAATGGTTCTTTGTTATATCGTTCGAAGTCTTCAATCAGCCAGTTTCAGAGTCTTTCGGACTCCAACTTGGAAGTTGCGAGATACTTAGTCTACCTAATAATTCTGTGCATTTTTTCACGCCTTGTCTCCACGTGGTTTCCGCCAGCCCGCAGCGACTACAAAGAATATAGTGCGGTGCAGCAGACGGCAGTAGGGATTTTAAACATAACCGTGTTCGATCACCTGACAATCAAGAGATAAACGGACGAAATAGAGACCTGATTACTACAGGAAAATGATACAGGTGATGATGGGTGTTCGCAGTCATTAACCGCATCGGAATACGTTGACTGAGGAGCATATTAGGCGGGTCACCTGATAGGCTTCCTGAATGTACGCTGTTCGCCGAGGCAGACAGTGGATGAAAAAAAGTTAAGGGCGGTTAAATTAAGAGCTGGCATGAAAGCCGTGATTAGATTGCTCGGTGTTATAAACCATATTGAGCTTCACGGTGGAGAATCTCGGGAAAAGAGTGAAAGATGGTCAGAGATATGTCTGGTTGCCACAAACAGTGGTGTCCGTGCACTGACGAACGCATTTGGCAATTCATTCTGCATTGTTATTTTGGTGATGCTCCCAGTTTTCCAATTATCCTCTCTGTTTTTTTATTCAAATGATTAGTCAAAAGACAACAACCAGGACCACCATATGGAAGCGTAAGATTAATGACTGCACAAATTCATGAGTTCTATGACAACAGATTAAACTGACCGCGTGAACCCGAACCAATGTACATAGTAGTAACCATTCTCAAACGATCTGTGATCATCTATTTTGTAAAACAAAAACAAATTCAATCGAACTTTCGCAAAGAAAAGGACAGACAAATAGAATCGGTAAATCAAGCTGGTCAACATTCTCGCATCAAACCTCACCGTCTTGCGCATTCAGCAGATGGGAATGATTTGAACCAAGTGGTATAGGATCCCAAATATCGGAGGTGGTCGACACTTCTACCACCGCATCATCCCAATGTGGACCTGGAGGACCCGGCGGTGGTGGTGGCCCAGCACCAGGCCACAGACCACCACAGACCATCAATTGATCTGGATATGATTGAGCACGTTCGAACTCCATCGGGGATGCAGGCCAACATAGACCCAAATGAGGTCCGAATAGTTCGGGAGGAACTTCTCCGGGTAAATCCAGATCCAACGCGGTTCCACAAACCGGATAAGGAGCTATGTGTACGGCAAGCGGAACAGTGAGATAATAGACAATGGCGGAAGGAAAAAACACAATGAAACGGCGCAATAGGCAAGTGTGTTACAAAAACGGTACACAATAGACCTAAATGGCCAAAAGGTAACAACGATGGAAGGTTCGCACAACATACGTTGGTCAGTATGCTTTTCAACTGAGCAAATTATCCCCTACCCGGATAGCATACCACCGGTCTACTGCCGCACTGCATCTTTCGTCTGTGTGAGGAGGGTGACAACTAGATTCAAGATCTATTGTCTCTCACCTCGCTCGGCAGGGCTCAGAACATGGGGAAAAGGTAATAGAAACCAAACAATCCGGAGAACACACACATTACAGAAACAAGAGACAAACGCGTTTCAGAGGTGGCCATATAGTGAGGACTGGTTCTCCGTGAATTGCATGACCTTATCCGTCTAATATTAAAACAAGATAAATTCTGATTTGCCAACTGTCACGGATACGTGTCGATCGATACTGGAGGTAGAATGGACAGTGAACCGTAGCATTCCAAATATATCGATGTGCATAAGTGGCAAGAAAACAGTACAGAAAATTGTTGACAAAGTATTGAAAATCGGTTCTCGTAGCTCGGGTGAACTAAATTCTATTTCGCCTATTCGCCGAGTTTGACAATTTGTTTGCAAACGTTTCATCACACCAGCCGAGGTGACATCGTCGATGCTTGTGAAGTGGCCTTTATGAGCACCATGCGTCTTCCAAATGGTCGTGAGATCCTTCAGGTCTCCGGGAGATTGATCGGTGATCTATGATAAACACTCCGTGGAAGTAAATTGCGCCGTAGGCATTCGTGAAGGAAGAATAGCTGCTCGGAGTGGAGACTACTAGACAGGCGAAAGTCTCCCATCGGCGAGCTGCCTTTAGAATTGTACGCCCAAAAACTGTTGACTTCACAAGCACTGATGATGTCACCTCGGCTGGTGTGATGAAACGTTTGCAAACAAATTGCCAAGCTCGGCGAAACGGCGAAATAGATTACAGAAAATGACAAAGTGAGATGACAACCGGGAACGTTTATTGAAAAAAAATTTGAACATTGACATATGTATGCTTCACCATGGTCACTGATACGGCAACTAAAAGATCATAATTTGGCAAAACCGCTCAGCATGCCATCTCATCTGTGAGCACAGGATGAAGAACAGGAAGACCAACGAACAAAAGTTTAGTTTCAGTTCAGTTGCACAACCATCAACCATGCACTATCGTGCGCCTGTTTTGGTTGCTATCTTTCGGCTACCCATTTGAATGAACATTAGGAGAAAGACAGGAAAAGTTGAAAGTAGGACCGAAGAGAAGACTGAAAAGTTCAGTGGATTAATGATAAAGAAAAAGTGAGAAGATGCACGAACGGCGCTGTTTACGATACCCTGCCATACCACTTAGTGTCTCTAACGAACAAAAGATGTCAAGTGGAGTTGTATTCAGTGCGTAAAAAGAATGCATGGTTGAGAGAAGAGGTGGTTGTGGCGCAGTGGTTTAGCCGCTGTCACCGGCGTGCTTCGGATCTTATGATCCAAGGTTCGAGCCCCGCCACCGCTACTGAACTTTGGTGTTACCCGGCTAAATACCACGTCTAACCTAGCAGGGCATTATGTGGTTCGAAACTCCAAGTACGGGAGCTTAGGTTACCGGGTTCCATCACTGAACAGCAGATCTTTGTGACTATAGGTTTACCCTGTCAGCTATTCATGACACAAAATCGTATAATAAAAATACAACAGAAGATAATAACAACACATCGAAGCAAATGAACCACTAAAAGATCCAATTTGTGTGCAAAGACCAAAACTCGCTTTTTGAGATCAGTTAGAGTCTGATTTAGTTTATCCCTGCGAGGGAAACATTGTCGGGTTCTGCCATGGAGCGACCGTCGTTGAAACCGATTGTGCATTGCAAGCAGAGGTGACAAACCCGATCCCCTGAGGTTTGCAATGTCAAATAGGGCAAGACAGCATCAAAAAGAGGGCTTTTTGCCTAGCCTACCGGGTGAAGCGAAGAACAGACTTGGGATCTGTTGAACACATGCACACACAAACAATCTGACTAATTCAAACTGTGTTTCCGGTCGACAATTTGTGCTTCAGTATCATTTCTGGTAGTGTCTTTTGTGCGACCGATTTGTTGGCTACCACTGTTTGATAAATCGTCTGATCAACGAGCCAATAGGATAAGCGATGATGACAAAACAAAAATCGAACACTCCATATCACCTGTTTGTCGAGCTTCACAATGTGTTCTTGCAAGCGAACATTTGACAAACCGGAATGTGTAGATGAATGCACACCAGTGTTTACAATATTCCACCGTGTGCTTTAAAGGTCGAAGCGTTATTCATGCTCATCCAAAGACGCCTAACGATGTTCACTGGTAATGATCCTCATACTATCGAGGTATGCTTTGGATTGAGTACCAAATAATTCCAATCAAAGAGAAGTTACGAGCCTTCAAAAGCTTCAGTATGGTGGGGGTTGGGTGTCCGGGGCTGCGGCTGGTCACCCTTCCCTTGCACCTCGCGAAATGTTCCCATACGACCAAGCGTCTCAGATAGCCTTTGCTGAGGAAACCCTACTCTGCCTTCTAGTGTTGTCGAGGTGTTTTCCCACAAAAGTGAGAGGACGAATTGCCGACATCCGAGAATTTAATCGGGTTGGTGAACCAAGAGGAGTTGGCTAAAAACCCTGATTCCAAACCAACCATGAGGAGGCGCACTAACCACACACACCTTCCCGGTTGTGGTCACCGGCTCGATTGGGCATCGAGATGTATTGAGCACCTCGGACGTTTGACCCCGTCCAAAGGATTTATGATCCAAT